GGCCTGTCAGGCGCCAGCTGATGGCGGCGGAGGCGGGACGGGCGGCGCAGCGCAGGCTCACGCTGCCTCCCAACTTCTGCACCACCGAGCCGGGCTCCTCGGTGAACTCCGGGACTTCGTCTACATGATGGGATGACAGAATATTCTCAACATCTGGGCAACTCTTTGCATTCCCACAATTAAAAAATCTGAATGAAAAAAAATAAAATAAAAAAATCTCTATCACTGGTGTGAACAATTCTCATTATATTCCCTGTAAATCAGAATGGCAACAACTTTCTCGCATTCTACATTTCACTTAATTGTACCGCATTCCAGTTCCTCAGCTATTCACCATTGACAAGCAATTTTCGACAGAAATTGCACTCTCGAGTTTCAAGCAAATTGCTGTGGCAGCTGCCAGATGCGTTAAACACGCACCTCCCTGCCAGTCGAAATATTTTGTCCTTGGCAACGTTTACCCTTGGCCAGGTGTTAGGAAAAACCCATGTTTAAAAAAAAAAAAAAAAAGGCTTCCTTATACATATAAAGTACAAAGCAAATTGTACAGTAAACCGAAAATCTACTCACCAGAGACGGACGCACTGCTCTGAAGGCAACATAGCAGTACTGCGCCCAGAGCGCACAACACGGGGGTGCTTCTTTTTCTCATCCATGGAGTCCAGTCACGTTTTCCAGACATCTTCCATGCAACACCCTTCTGAAACACACACGCGCACAACACAAAATTCTGAAACACACACGCGCACAACACAAAAAAGGTCAATAAGTGGGAACCGTACCACTCAAAACTACACAAAAATAAACATCATGTAGTCATTGGTGCATATTTGGATGAAGGTGTTGATTCAGAATGTGCAATGGTAAAGCTAGAAAAAAAACTATTCCAATGTTCCAAATCCCCATTACAATAATTTGGAGTCCAGTCACGTTTTCCAGACATCTTCCATGCAACACCCCTCTGAAACACACACACGCACAACACAAAAAAGGTCAATAAGTGGGAACGTACCACTCACATCTACACAAAAATAAACATGTAGTCATTGGCGCATATTTGGATGAAGGTGTTGATTCAGAATGTGCAATGGTAAAGCTAGAAAAAAAACTATTCCAATGTTCCAAATCCCCATTACAATAATTCACATTCATTCCTGAAGCAAATTTGTTCAAGGTTGAATTGGTACTCAAATTTGTAAAATGGCAAGGAATTGAAAAGCGTGCGCATTCAAGTACTCAAAGCCATTCCTTTTTTTATGACCGAAAAACAAAAACTAAGGAAGGCATCTGGGACCCGTAACGCGACGCCTTCCTGCTCAGGTGTAACTGACACAGGTAGAGGTTCCCGGGCGGCTGGGCGTTTGGAGGGAGGGATGGGGGTAAAAAAAACAAGGGGGTGCATTGAAGGGAGGCTTGGAGTCAATCTAACAAGACAAAAAAACACCAACAGACCTAAAAAAAAAATAAAGGTAATAGATTCCTACTAAAACCACTAACAGACCTAAATATGTGATGCTATGATGACTTCAAGCTAACAATCGAAACAGACCTAAAGAAGTCAAGGTAACTAATTCATACAAAACCCACCAATAAATGCTAATAAATGAGCACCGGCAAACTGAAGTCTTCAAACAAACAAACAAACACGGCAAAAGACTAAACGCAACAAGCTAACAAATGCCGACCAAACCAGCAAGAGAACCAAAATAAAGTCAACACACAAAACCACCAAAGAAGTCCAGCTAACTATTGCTAACAAAGTCTCCCAACAAAAACGGAGATTGCGTTAGCCATGTGCAGCTACGCTAATACAAATAGTCAGCCTATTAATGTTAATGCAGTCAGAGTGTGCATCTCTTCCCTTCTCTCTTGTTGCTCACTGCCAAGTTTCCTGAATTCTTTCCTGTCAGGTTAAACTAACAACTTCCCGTCAGGATGAGGAGGGTGGTCCCGCGCCTCTCAAACCTCCCTTTCTCCTCTTTCCCCCCCGGTACTGAACATGCATAGTATTCAAACTGGGCTACGTGTTTGACCACTTATCGGTGATTAACAAGGCCGGTGGGACACAAAAAAACAAAGAGAGGGCGAGGAAGACGAGCGGGGAGAGAGGATGGAAACTCTAACGTCAAGTTAAAACGAAGAGCTGATGGAAAAACTGTTGTTAACTCAAGCCAATAGTCTCACAGAGGCGCACGCACACGCAGGACCACACACTGTACGCCATTAATAAGAGCAATATTGGATTAGCGACCACCCTCCAACAGGCAAAAGAAAAAAACAAAAACACATGCTGTAATAATCACATCATTTATCCAGGTCGCTTTCACTTTTCTTCACACAAACGTTCATTTTTTTTGTTATTTTTTTGCATTTCCCAGCATTTCACAGCAATGCTGCTAACTCATCGCTAACGTTACATGGCCAAGAGCAACAAACTCACTTTAGCTTTTTTGTCATCTTAACACCTGCCCTAGTTGTAAAGTGTGATTTTTGGATTATTTTATAAACCAATGTAGTTGATATAAATGGAAAGTGGTAAATATTTGTCAGTTGACACAGTCTAAAAGCTAACAGTTCAAAAAGACTCAAGGGAAGCTAACAAATGCTACCACCAAAATTCTGAACAGAAGTGAAAAAGTGAAGCTAACAAATTGAAACAAACATCAACAACAGACGTTTGTGGATGCCGCGGGGCAGCGCGCTTAGACAAGAGAGCCCCGGTGCAAGCTTGCCCATATTAGATGCGCCTTCTGATGTCACCGCGAGAATTGGTACCATGAGTAGCAGACAACACGTTCAGAAATAATGAAGTTACTCTATTTCACTTTATGTTTTTGGAATATTGTCTTGTGGCAAAACCACACAATCCCAAAAAAAGGCGTACGAAGGGGTCATTTCAACCTGACTGAGAAATAATGAAGTTACTCTATTTTACTTTATGTTTTTGGAATATTTTCTTGTGGCGAGACCACACAATCCCAAAAAAGGCGTACGAAGGGGTCATTTCAACCTGACTCAGCATTTTCACAAACTGATTTGAGACTGCTAAATTTCAAAGCTTCTTTTAAAGTAAAATGTCAACGTTTTTGCTTCAATTTCTCTGCTATTCGGCAAAATAGCTGCTAATTGCTAACAACTGTGCTATTCGGCAAAATAGCTGCTAATTGCTAACAATATGGCTACCATCTCTCCCTCTCTCTCGCAACACACACACACACACACACACACACACACACATTAAATATAAGTACATTTGGTCAGTTATGATATGAGGTGTACTCAGTTGAATTTTCATTTGCATGTGCAGGTGTACTGGTCATGAAAAACGAGATGTCACAACTCATATATATGTAAGACATATTTATTTACCTGCTGGAATGGCGGGCACGTCGAGTACATAAACCGACTGTAGCAGCACACACACTACTCTTACATTTACGGTCTCGCGGCGGCCGTTTAGTGGCGAGCGCACACGGTAAACAAACAAAGTATGCGAGCCAGCCTGAAGGCTTGTGGCTTATGTGGCCAAAGCTGTGACAGCTGCCCATAAAAAAAAAATAAATAAATAAAAAAAGAGGTGTAGATGTACATCCAGCACCTGTTGCCCACCGCAGGCTTCCGAACAACTTTTTGCAAACAAAGAACTTTGATTTGGTGGGTAAAAAGACACCATCAGACCGGAAGATGTTTGGCTAACAAATGCTAACAAAAACCACCAATGGCTCTAAAAGACGTCAAGCTTGTACTTCACCAGGTCAGAGTGTTGGGAACAAATATATAAGGCAATATAATCATATTTAACTGGAGAGACACTTTATACGCTACATCATGCCTACGTGGCACTCTACACTTGGTTGTCTAATTCCCCACTTGATGAGTGGGCAAGGCACTCGGGTGAGCCAACTACACATATACAAACCCTTAAAAACTCAATTTTCCATAAAATGTTATCTTCGGCCCACTGTCGACGAGAAGGGAGAACAGGCCAGCTACGAGATGGATGGTTGTTAAAACAGCAGTAATACCTCAGCCGTGCCTAAAAAACAACCTCCCCCTGGGTCCTGTCCGAATGTGATTCATTAGTCAGCTGGCCCTGGTGTTTGCTTAGCGGATACCCTGCCTCCAGATGAAAACTTGCCCTAACATCTATGTCCAACTTTTTCCATCCCCCCCCCCCCAAAAAAACACGAAAAGCGTACGCAGTCGCGGCAAAATACCACCGTGCCGCAGTGTCACGTAAAAAGGCACAAGCGGTTAGAACAAGGGGTAGGGTAGGCTGATCGTTTGAATCGGGTGAGTTGAAGTAGCGAAAAGACCTAAAACAGGCAGGATATGGCTCTCTAGGAACCGGAGTTCCATACCCCAGGGTTAGAATTTGGATGTTCTATTTGGGCTCTCTCCTGTGTGTGTGTGTGTGTGTGTGTGAAAGGTACAGGGTCAAAGTTGACCCACAAATTTCCCAGTTTTGAAGGAAGTAGCAGAGTTGTAGCAGGAGGCAGGATGTTGTATCCTGCTTTCGAGCTCCCCCCGTGTCCCTGTACTCTTGTCGCTCCCACCTCAAAACCAAACGAGCCTCTTATTTATAATCCCCCCTCCGATACAGCTTTTGAGCTGCGGAGGGGGGTCTCCGCATGAAACGGGCTACTACAGAGAATGCACTGTACACAATCTTGTGCTAACAGTGAGTTTGTGACAGACGCAAATGACGATGAGGAGCAACAAGTGGCGCCTTATATGTCCGTGGCATTTCTGGTCACATGACAGGACACCCCCACTGCCCCCCCCCTTCTCATTGTGGTCCAAGCCCGGTGGATAAATTCATTTTGACAACCTTGCTAATAGAACAAAACCAGGCCGCAGCCTCCTCCCGGAGTGCTCACATTCCATCTGCTTTCTGGCATGAAGACGAGGAGGAGGAGGAGCAAGGGGGCCGCAGCCAGGATGGAGGGGTGCGCCTGCTAGTAACTCCCCCTCTGTTGAATATTCATCCCTCGCCCCCCCCCCACCCCAAACTTTTACGTCTTCTTACGCCCCTCCCTTACTCTCTTTCCTCCCCTTTAGATAAACACATGCGGTGTCAAGTGTGAGGAGTGCCGGGGTTTCAACGGGGCCCGCTCTGCCTCCGCGGCCCACAATGCATAGCTGCGGCGCGGGAGGCCGGTTGCCCCGGGCGACGCTAACAGGCAGAACGCACCTTAATAGAGTGGAGAGTCATTGTAAAGCAGTGAGCCGGCACCCGGACAAAGACCCCCGCGGACCCCTGGAGAAAGGGGAGACGCTGCTCTGAAGGGCCCGGGGAAGAGCTGATGGGCCACGCTCAATGACCAAAGAGGGGGGATGGAGGGGAGGGGGCGGG